CTGGTGCCCCCGGCTGATGTCACGTTATTATGCGCAGGGGTTGGGATATCCATCTTTGCCTCTGTGCAAAGCAACTTGTTAGCCACCAGCTAGGGAAATTCATCGCAGCCCACGGCTTCAAGTGGCACGCTGAGCCTGAGCACAAGCAAGGTGTTGGAGCATGTTGGATGCACATGCAAGCCTGGAGGGCCTGCAGTGAAAGTAGAAGTCTGGGTCAGAGTTAGAGACATGGAAGCAGCCGCGTTGCTGACAATGCGTTGTTGAGATGCGCAGCTTGGGCTCGAAGTCGAGCGGACAATGCAGAAAGATATGAGGGCAGCAATGACCTGCGAAGGAATACTTCAGCACGTGCATCCTTTGAGTACAGCTTTTTTTACTGCAACGGGCAAGTGGGGCTAAGCAACATGCATAAGGCAAATTATTGCAACTAGGCCTGGCGTGCCGATATCATGGCTGAGCTTTGGCAGTGATGAAGTTGAAGACTGTCTGACAATTCATGACACGACTGTAAAATTCATTGGGCTAGCCAGGGAGCCTTGGCAAACAAAGGCCGCAAGATCCGAGGACAAGGCGAAGAAGAAGGCAAAGAATGATGAGCCAGCTGTGTCATCAAGGCCGACGGTCAAGAAGGACGGCCACATGTTTCGGGTTTTTCAGCGGAAAGCACAGGGAAACCGTTGCACCTAGCAGTTTTTTGTGTCATGCAGCAACAGCCCAGGACTTCCGGCACCCGCCGCGGCTACCGACCATCGCCAGGCATGTTGACACAGCTCCACGAGTCTCACCCAAAGAGGGAAGGACTCGGGAGTAGTGCTACATGTCGCCAGAGAATTCATGCTCACCTTTGGAAGAGGTTTCATTGATCGAAATTCACGCACTTTGTCCTCAACCTCCAGGCCCCTACCAGAGGAAGACTTGGAGGTGATGCACCATGCTGAGGGAGTGGACAGCGATTCGGACAGGGTGCAGTGGCTATGTTGAACGCCATTCTTGTGCCCTCAGATCTCGCACTAGGCAGCTGATGCCTTTTTCATGCCATGTGAAGCTTGCGAAATGCGCAGATGCATGAGTTTGACATGGTTGACCCACCCGCTTTCGCAGGACGTAGACCCTGCCTACATCTCTCCCAGCATCCGCGACAAGCTGGGCGTGCCGCTAGAGGCATAGCAGCCTTGGTCCAAGATGTTCCAAGCAAGCTGTTGAGGGACAACGGCAGCATGGGCTTGTTCTGAAGGGGGGCAAGGGGAGGCTGCAGTGCTCAGGGAAGGTGGAGGAGGCTAAAGGAAAGAAAATGAACCAACAGCTGAGTGGTTGAGTGGATTGCGTTGCTGTTGGCCTTTGAGAGAGTGCAAGGAACAGGAAGGAAAGGAAGCTAAGGGAAGCCAAAGAAATTCAAGGAAGCTAAATGTTTGCAGTAACCACGTATAGTAATGTGCCTGGATGATGCAACAGACCTTGGGTAGCCAGGTGAAGTTGCCTCCAGCACTTCTGCAAGCCGCAGAGGATACAGGCTATACTCGGGGAGCCAGGGACTCAAAACATGCACTCCCCGAAAGGCACCCCCTTCCGCAAGCCTCTTCTACGAGCCTTTCCAAGGTACCCGGGAGCCCGGGGAGCGACACGTAAGAGGCTTTTGGTAGAGCGTGTCTACCTGGGAAAATATTCCTGAAACTTCTCTTGACAAATGCCGTCAAGCTGATCGACATTTCCTGTCAACAGGGGGACAGTAACACGCCACCTGCCTTACTGCCTTGGCATGGGCTGAGGTGCGGCAGATCCAGAGATCGGTAGTGAAAATGCAGGCAGGGGCTGGGTGGAATTTTGTGGCTCAGCATCAAAGCGCTCGCATGGGACGAGACTTTTCTTTGCAGGCAGCAAAGCGGGACGAGCACCTGAAGCCGAAGCCTCCGCCTATTGGCAGCGCTCAGCTGGATGAACAGATGCTGCGGAAAGTGTTCCAGAAGATGGAGCGGGCTTTATGCAAGACGAGCCCATGGGTTCCTCCACATGTTGCGGGCAAATCTGAGACATTGTGCTGGCAGACTTCCTGGAGTTTCATTGCCAAACTTGGTAAGGTGTGTTCAGAGCGAGCTCCTGGAATATGTAAGTACACCATGGCTGAATGAAGGTGTGGAGATCGGTTGGGCAACACTTGATTTGTGTGTGTGTGTGTGGGTGCGGCGCGTGCGCGTGCGCGTGCGCGTGCGCGTGCGCGTGCGCTTGCGCTTGCGCTTGCGCTTGCGCTTGCGCTTGCGCTTGTGCTTGTGCTTGTGCTTTTGTTTTTGCTTGTGCTTGTGCTTGTGCATGTGCATGTGTAGCTGCGAGCCTGCCTATATACATTTACTCCAGACTCAAACTATTCCACTCGATTTGGCCAGTGCTTCCTGAGCGAGACACATGCACCCCTTGAGGATCTCGACAACTGCGAGGCTTTTGGAGACCTGTCCGGCTGTTCGTTCTTGGCACCCTGCGTCTTGTTCCAGGTTTAACGTTTGCGTGTTCAAGCGACTGGCGTGGTGGGGCTGGTGGACAGATGGATGTGGGTTGTTTGGGGGGTGGGGGGCGGTTCCCTTTGGTTGGTTTCAAAAGGAAACCAAGAGCAAACCACACAAATTCCATTTGTTCCCGGAGCTTGTGGATGACACATTTGGGGCTTGCGTTTAGACCATGTGGGCATGCGACATGTCACCAGATGTGATCCGTGTTCGGGGTCTAAGAGCCCTTGGCAGGCCATCAGCAGCAAAGTCCTGCGACACCTTTTTCTGCAGATGGGCCGGGAGATCGCTGCGGAGGAATTGGAGGCGATGGTGGCCCTGGTGGACATGTGCCTCGGAGTCTCCAGTTACAATTCGGGCACTCAAAAAATGTCCCTTTTTCGGAGCAAAAATAGACCACACAACTTGGGGTAATGTTGCGGTGGCTCTTTTTGGTAGGGACCCCTGTATGACTTGCCCCTGGGTCCAGTTAGTGCAGATAGCGACGGGGTTTGAGAGGAGCTCAGCGCGGCCCAAGGAGGGAGACAGGGCAAGCCACCTACGAAGACTTCTCCGCTGTGTTTGGGAACCCTGCACGGCACCCAGAGAAGCGCACCAAAGCACCTTGTCAAACCGACCGCATCTCAGGCCGAAACACTGCGTCAGATCAATATAGAGGCTGTGAAGGCGGCTGCCCGCGGCGAAGTGAGGCACGGCAGGGCCGAGGGCCAGGCTTGTGTCAGCTTCACATCGGCAAAGTGGGGTGAAAAGGGCCACTGGGCATTGTTGCATCGCCAAATCGAACGCGTCGTGATCATGGCACCTCAGAGGCAGAAGAAGGAGTTGGAAGTGGACTTGGAGGAAAGCAGCGAAGAAGAGGATCAAAATAGTGAGGGTGCAGACGAGGAGGAGGAAGAGCTCGCGGAAAATGGGTGAGTGTGGTAAGATTGCTTTCAGTGGCTGGTACCTTTCGCCAAAGGTACTAGTACTGGCAAAGTTTCACTGGCGTCTGCGACAGGCAGCAAAATCCCAAGTCAACCCCCAAATGCGCATTTCCACCGCAGAGTGTCTTCGGTAGCAGTTGTTTCACTATGTGGGAGACACGAAGGCAACCGGCATGCGCGGCAGTTGCAAAAGCAATCAAAGGAAGCTGGCCTGGAAAACGAGAGTAGCACCGCGCACAAGCACACAGAGGACACCGCACGCAGACACTGTGTATGTGTGAGTGTGACCCGTTACTTGTCTACTCCTTCCAGGGAGCTTGTTTCGGTGTGAGTGTGTGTGTGTGTTGTGTGTGTGTGTGTGTGCGTGTATTGTGTGCGTGTGTGTTGTGTGTTGTGTGTGATGTGTGTGTGTGTTGTGTGTTGTGTGTTGGTGTGTTGGTGTGTTGGTGTGTGTGTGTGTGTGGGTGAGTGGGTGTGTGGGTGTGTGGGTGTGTGGGTGTGTGGTTGTGTGGGTGTGTGGGTGTGTGGGTGTGTGGGTGTGTGTGTGTGTGTGGGTGTGTGGGTGTGTGGGTGTGTGGGTGTGTGGGTGTGTGGGTGTGTGGGTGTGTGGTTGTGTGGGTGTGTGGGTGTGTGGGTGTGTGGGTGTGTGGGTGTGTGGGTGTGTGGGTGTGTGGGTGTGTGGGTGTGTGGTTGTGTGGGTGTGTGGGTGTGTGGGTGTGTGTGTGTGTGTCTCTCTCTGTGTGTGTGTGCGGAGTGGCAGAATACCCTGCCACCATAAAACTTTTTCCGCTGCAGCAGGGGCTTGACCATGTCTGTTTGGAGTCGGCCGCCACCACCCTGGATGATCTAGCATGGAGTAGCTAACGCACTGCTGGCGGTCCGGAAGAGGAGAGTGCGTTGGCGAAAGATGTCTAGACTTCCTCGGTGCCGAAACTCCATTGCCCTGGCGGACACCCTGGAAACCCCGAGCACCTCGGTGATTCAAAGTCCTTTTGGCCCGGTGTTTCTCTCGCTGTGTGTGCTTCATGTTGAACCTTGTAACGTTTTCGCCTCTAGAGGGAAGCTGAGTGCCTTGCGACCCGAAACGTATGCATGAAGAACCTTATCCAAGCCGAGACTTACCAGTTGTACTCGAAAAGGTTAGCACCCTCCATCTGGAGTCTAAGTGTGTACACCCCATTCGTGGTGAATCCTCGGGTGTACCCATCGTGTGACCCCGGGCCGGCTTTGTCGGAAATTTTGACCTCAACGTGCTTACCATAGAACAGCGGAATTTCACATTTTTTTTAACCAGGAACGAGGTTTCACTAAAGGGAAGACAGCCACCTCTTCATAGTTACGTTTCACAATGCTGGATGTCGCTGCTGGCAGCTTCTTTTGTGCCTTGCGTTGGGAACTTGCATGTCCATGGTCATGCGTTATCATTGATTGTGCCATGCGCGGTAAACATGCATGTCTTTGGTCTTGAGCTGCCGTTGATTGTGGCTTGTCGTTTGTATCCTTCCTCAAGGACGAGCTTTATCTTTTCGGACGTGTTGCTGTTTTGTCATGTCACGCCGGGATGATCGTGACAGATCCAGAATTCGGCGCAGACGGGATCAGACTCCTTCCCCCCAGCCTCGCAAAGCATGCCGACGTGAACACAATGACAATCAGGTTTCGGAGGGCATGGATTGGAACAACCTGGTCTCCTGGCAACATAATTCGGGCTACAACACCAACAACACCTTTGCAGTGATGCCAGGCAATTGGCGTCATTGATCAAGTGGTCCAATCACCCATCCCGTTTCAACGGCAACAAGTCCTTGGAATCCATGTCGACCCAGTTTTTTCAGGCGTGTCAATGCATCCCAAAAGGAGACGCACCTACGTTTGCGGCTATGGCGGCTCTGCGGGGACTTGAGCCTGGCTACATCACCAAGCTTACTGACAAAGCGTTGTGTCACCTTATCGTGACTGCCCGCTTACTCACAGGGTGAGCAGTTTCCTTTGCTCACATATGAGCCCGGAGTGGCAGTTGTGTCAAGATTGATGAACGGTTCAAAACTTGTTCGTCCTCTTCTTGCTCTGTAATTGTTTGGTGAAGTGCTTGGCTTTGCTTGCATTGTGCATTGCTTGGTGCTCATTGCTTCTTGCATGTATGTCGCCGCCACGTTGTAGTTTTCATTGGCTGCATATCCATCATGTTGGCTGAATTTCGCCGCTGTGGAATCTATGATGATGTTGCGCAATGGCATTTTTAGACATTTTTCTGCACTCGCTGACAGTGTTCTCTACGTGCTGGCAATACTGCTTTCCTGGATTTCCACCACCGTCGATTCCAATGGATGAATATGAGTCAATTGAGCAACTACCTCGGTTGGACCTCATCCTGGAAGTACTAGTCGTGGTTCGGATCGCACTTCAGATTCCGATACACTCCATGTCGCGGTCCTACCACACCGTGGCCAACAGGTATGAGCTTCATAGATGCCGGAGCACTGCTTATCTGTTGATCAGTTTTTTGCAGCGTTTCATTTTTCAAGACTATGGGTACATTCCGCCGTTCTTCGAGGTTCTTCACTTCTACAAGACGTCACTGCTGTGTGAAATCATGCACTCCACTTTTGCGGATATGAGACACCTTTGATCATTACGGACACGCTTCCCGGACCTCTATGACTTCATTCAGGATCCAGGTCACCATCAACAGCCATGCGTCTACATCAGACTTTCTCCATGGCACAGTTTTTACTACGTTGGAGCAACAGATCAGGATGGATGGCATGGATGGCATAGATGGCATAGATGGCATGGATTGCATGGATGGCATGGATGGCATGGATGGCATGGATGAAACCGCTTGTCTTGCCTTGTCTTGCGGACTTGAGTGTTCAAATCATGCTGGAGCAAAATGTGCAGACATTCATAACTTGGACCCATGGAGCGCAGCCGACGTGGTTACAATATCACGGACCAAACTACCCGGCCGGTACATTGCTCGATAGACCATTTCGATTGACGGCATCACCACCACCTCCACCACAGTTTCTACTACTTCCTCCTCCTCCTCCACCACCACCACCGCCACCGATGATTATTCATCCACAGTTCATGCCCTCATTGCGAACCTCCTCTACCTCCTCTACCCCTTCTCCTCGAGGACAGTCATGCCCGGCTACTATGGTCTCTGAGCGCACACGACGCTCAGTTTGCAGAGCTGACCAATCCCGTGCTGACGATCTACGCAGTCTCACGCGTTCCCCGAAACGCACTGAACACAATGACAACCTGGTCTCGGATGGCATGGATTGGAACAATTTGGTTTCTTGACAACACAGTTCGGGCTACAACACTTCCAGTGCATTTCTGGAGAGGCATGGAATGGATTCGGGTTTACACACCGGGCATGTGGCAGCCTGTGGCTGCATCCACCTTGGGCCCCACTTCCACGTATCGGGAGTGGCGCAGGGTATACCATTTTGATGTGTATTTACCCCGTGATGCCTGTCTCCTACGCGTTTTATCACGTGTGGGAATTCCGAGATTGGCACACGCGTGGTTATCAACGCCTTGGTGTCCCACGTCCATCCATTGGATCGACGGGTCTCCTACGTATCCACCACTACTACGACCATCACCACTACCACGACCACTACAACTACTACGACCACAACAACCACCACTACGACCACTACTACCACGACCACCACCACTACAACTACCCACCACCACTACCGCTACTACAACCACCACCACCACCACGACCACCACCACCACCACTACGACTACGACCACCACTACAACAACCACTACAACCACTACGACCACTACGACCACTACGACCACCACCATTAAAAACCACTACCACTACTACCACCACCACTACCACCACCACCACCACTACTACAACCACCGCTACTGCTACCACCACCACCACCACGACCACCACCACCACCACGACCACCACTACAACAACCACCACCACCACTACGACGACCACCACTACTACAACCACCGCTACTGCTACCACCACCACCACGACCACCACCACCACGACCACCACCATCACGACAACCACTACAACAACCACCACCACCACT